AATGATGGGTGGTGGTGGTGGTCGGTGGTGATAGGTGGTGGTGGTGGGAGGTAGTGGAGGTGAGTGGTGGTGATGGGTGGTGGAGACGAGTGGTGGTGATAGGTGGTGGGTGGTGGTGATGGGTGGTGGGTGGTGGTTGGTGGTAATGGCAGGTGGTGGTCATAATGGTGGGTAGTGGGTGGGTGGTAGTGATGGGTGGGGGTGGAGGTGGGTGGGGTGATGGGGGCAGGTGGTGGTGATGGGTGGTGGTGGTCGGTGGTGATGGATGGTGCTGGTGGGTGGTGATGGTGGTCGCAGGTGTTAGTTTTGGTGGGTGATGGTGACGAATGGTGGTGATGGGTGGTGATAGGTTGTGATGGTGGTAGGTGGTGGTGGTTGGTGGTGATAGGTGATTGAGGTGGGTAGGGAAGGTGGTGATGGGTAGTGGAGGTATGGTCGTGGGTGGTGGTGGTGGGTGTGGTGGTTGGTGGTGGTGGTGGCGGGTGGTGGTGGAGGTGGTGGTGGTTGGTAGGTAGTGGTGATGGGTGGTGTTGGTTGGGTGGTGAGTGGTTTTGGTTAGTGGGTTTTTTAATTGTTTGTAACAATTGATTGATTTTTATGAATATTATTTTATAGTTTTAATTAAAAAAATTATGTGGTCCAAATTTGTTCTCAAATGTTCTCGCAATAAGAAATGTTCTCGATTGAACGCTCCAATATATATATATATATATATATATATATATATATATATATCCCTATTATAATAAATGAATAGTTATAATCTTATTTTGCCAAGTGTCACCCTAATACAACTCCTCATTAATATTATGTCATGTGTCATGTAAATATATTAGGCAATTCATTTCAAAATTCAAATTTACATTTTCTAATTATATGTTAAATTTGAAGTTATAATAACTTTAATATTTTGATATATCTTTAAATTAATAATTTATTTAAAATAACTTATTTAAAATAATTGATTAATAATTATAATTTTTTGTTATAAAAATTTAATTAATTTTATAACCGTGGTTTCCACGGGTTATAAACTAATATCTATATATCTATATCATATATCTATATCTATATATATATAATATCTATATAGGCTTAGGTTCAAAAACCCTCAAAATTCTAAAATGCATAAAAAAAACTACTTAGAGATCACAAAACTTTTTTTTGAATTTTTTTTTATAAATAATCGCAACTTTTTCTTAAAATTCGTTGAAAGAAAAATAAAAAACCAATTTTTTTTGTTTATAAAAAACCAATTTTTTTTGTTTATAAAAAAAAATTCAAATTTTTTTTTCAGCGAATTTGTATAGAAAGTTGCGATTTTTTCAAAAAAAAAAAATTAAAAAAAGTTTTGTGATCTCTAAGTATTTTTTTATGCATTTTTATGATTTTTAGGGTTTTTTTGCTTTCCAAATAACCCTTCCCCTATATTATATATATATATTATTATATATATATATATCTATATATCTATATATATATATATATAAAGCTAGCATTTTTCCTTGCACCTCATTCATTTGAAACCCCCATAAAAATATGCAAACACGTCATGCATTTGAAACCTCCTATTTTAATGAATACCACTCAAAAGTCTCTTAATAATAATTAGCAATTCAAAAGTTTTATAACTTATATAATATATTTAATAAACAATTAATGGATACTCTACTATAAAAATGTCAATCTTTTTGAGTAGACACACAAATACAAATCACATACAAAATTCACAAAGAAAACAAGTTTAAAGTTTTTTGTGTTGGTTTGAGGGCTTTGAACAATTTTTCGAACCATGTTATTATGTTGAAGTTTTTAATTTGTAAGTTTGTTATATACTAATTCTTTTTTGTATTTTCTTGATTTAAGTATTCTTTTAAGAATATTATTGTATGTTGTGGTTGAAATTTTAATGTAAATTAGATTAGATTTATGTTATCGATCATATGTTATGGAAGGTGATATATATATATATATATATATATATATATATTATTTAATTAACTATTGTATACATGTTTGTATGTTCATGTTGCTTCAATACAATAATTAATTAAAAATCATGCATATGTCATATTATCCATGTAAGCTTTTTTTAAAATGCAAATTGTCTATCTTATCACTTTATATTTTAGTATATGTTTAACATTTTAATTATAATAATAAGTGTTTTTTAAAAGTTTCTTTCACTTATATAATAACAGTGGTTTTAAAATTAATAAGCAATAATTATAAAATAATAAAATCAAATTCCATGGATATGTCATATTATCCATGCAAGTCTCTTTTGAAATGCAAATTGTCTAGCTTATCACTTTATTATTTAGTGTATATTTCCAATTTTAATAATAATATTAAGTGTTTCTTAAAAGTCTTCTTTAACTTATTATTAATAATAAGTGGTTTAAAATTAATGAATAACAATTTTAAATGATAATAACATCAAATTATAAATTACATTTAGCTATAAATAAATTGTATTTTAAATGAACATCATTATTGAAATAGAAAATGATCGCATAAGTAAAAATATAATTAATCAATAATAATAATTGTTAAAAATAATACAAAATAGATAATTATATTTAATTCGATAATGAGGAATGTGGGTTGATGTCAATGAATATTATTGTTCAAAATAATAGAGCTTATATATATATATATATATATATAATATATATCTATATATATTATATATATATATATAAATTAGTGTAAAACTATTATCTCAAAGTTAAGTCAATAACATAACCATTTTAAACATATATTTTTCATATTTAAGAATATATTTTTAATCTTCGCTGCACAACGCGCAGGAATTCGTCTACTATATATATATATATATATATATATATATATATATATATCTATTATATATATATATCTATAAACATGCCCTCATGGCTAATGATGATTTAATATAACAAGGTTACAATGTGGTTTTCACTTATACATTGTACATCTTTTGACTTGGTTCAACTCCAAGTTTGCCAGTTGTCACAAATTTGCAACATATTTTATCTTTTTGGTAAAAAAAAAAAGAAATTTGGGTGTTACAGTAAACATCTGATTTCATAAGTTAATCATGAAATGACATTTTTTTACAATATAACAGTTAACTAACCCTTGATCCCGAAGAGGTGCAATCCCCATGTAACTAAGAGTGAGTATTATTTGATTTAAACCCGTGAAACCGTTGCTTAATCGGTTTTTGGGTTTGGATTATTCTGGTATGGTTCAGTTTTCGAGTTGGTGGTTATCCTTAAAAGGTTTGGCGGTTCGGCAAAAAAAAATCGAGTTGAAACCGAAACCCGTTCAAGATATATATTATGTATTTTTATCATATATTATAGTCATTAAATAAATTGTAATATGATATCTTGATTTTACACCCAACACCCCACCCCCAGGTGACATTACCCCCAACACCCCACTCCTAATTCAGTTTATGAGTTGCATCATTAAAACGTCAATTGCGACACTACGACACCCCTTGAAAGTCAAAATCAAAGCACGGCGTCTCTTCCACGATCTCGCCAGAGATAGACCGACAGTCGAGCACTCTCCATTCGAGATTCTCCGATCAATTAGGGCCTAGGGTTCCATCAAATTGTAGGGTTTGCCTTCCCCTGGTTCGATGGTTCCTCAGGTTGTCCGACATCTTGAACGGCGTACTGCAATTTTGTTCCTCCATTCGAGTAACCCGAAACCGAACCATTTAAACTGAACCCGAATGACCTGAAAACTGTCTAACCCGCTCGATGCTCACCCTACATGTAACTTCTTACTTCTTACATTCCTTATGTTCACTATCAAACTACGTAAACTTGCATTTAGCACAACTAACTTGCATTTAGCACAACTGCTTTGTCAATTGTCTCATAGACAAATGTATGTTGTTTAATCAATTTTATTAGTCTTAATCGTAAGGTCGTTTTCGTCATCAAAAAGTTTTAAAATGTATTTTGATATATTTCTCTCCATCTTTCTTAAAAAGTCTTTAAAAATGAATACTTATATTTTTTTATTTGGAAAGTCTTAAAAAAAACTTTTTTTATTTTTATTTTTTTCTAAAAAGAATAAAAGAAAATCTACGTTTTCTTGAGGTAAATTGTCAGAAAAGTCCCAATATTTTAGGAAAGTTACACTTTAGTCACAAGATTTTTTTTTTGAACATTTAAGTCCCGATTATTTGTAAAAACATGATAATATGTCATTTCTTGTTAAAAGAAAAAAGGGAGAATTTCATATATGCCCTCTTAAACTTCAAAATATCATATTTGCCCAACTTAATTTCTCAATATCATATTTACCCTTCATAAACTTTCAAAATATCATATTTGGCCAAATCCTTTTATATAATGTTTTTAATATTCTATAATCATTTTTTATACCGTAGAATTATTATAATAATTAAAAATTTTAACCATATTATCCTTACGTCTGTGATAATCGAATGTGAAGCTCTAAATTGTTGGAATGTCGCCCTCTTGACAAACAAAAAGATTCATCTGCAACCTTCTCTATAGAATGTATATTTTGATTGTTTAGTTTTTGCTATTGTTGATTATTATCATGTTGTAGATGGAAGATATTTTAGATATTACCATTGATATTTTGATGTTTAAAAAGTGCATATACGATATTTTGATATTTAAGAAGGGCATATATGATATTTTGATGTTTAAAAAGGACATATATGATATTTTGAAATTTTATGAAGGGTAAATATGATATTTAGAAATTTTATGAAGGGTAAAAATGATATTTAGAAATTAAGTTGGGTAAATATGATATTTTGATGTTTAAGAAGGGCATATATGAAATTCTCATAAGAAAAAAAAAAGATTTTTTTGTAAACTTGAGCCAAAATAAAATAATCGAGACTTTTATGTTCAAAAAAAAATCTTAAGACTAAAATTTAACTTTCTTAAAAATATTGAAACTTTTATGACAATTTCTCTTTTATTGGTTTCATTGCTAGTCCTGTTCTTTTGTTTTTTCTCTGTTTCTTTTAACTCGGTGAAGACGGTGTAAAAAGAGAGTACGCAACCGAGGAAAGGGTTATGGAGTATGCATCTCAACAGGAATTCTTTATTCGAAAAGGAATACCCTAGTGCATGTGTGCCATGAAGATTGATGCTCCTTTACCCCCATCTACTAAACGCAGTTAAATACCGAAGATTCAACAAAAATGCAATCCTCTTCAATACCCAGTATCCAAAATCTCTCCTAAATTCAAAACCCTCAGCCTAATCAGGTCAGTCTTAGTCTCAAATATGTTTATGTTATTAGTTCTTGCTTTATGATTGTGTGATTATACAAACCCACAAGCGATGCAAGTATTTCTTTTGATGATGGTCGTTTATAACATGTTTCTAGATTCTTCATTCTTAGGTCGTCAATCCGATCTCACTACATAATTGAAATAGACCGTCTAGGGTTAACTAATTCAGTGTCAATTCGGATTTTTTCTTACATGCATGATTAATTGGTTATGAGCCCTAGGTTGTAGCTTGTTCATATATCGCGTGGTGATCGATTATGGATACACTCTGTCTAAGACATTTAAACTTTTTCATTTATAAAAGATTATTTAATTTGAGTTTCTTATTGTTATATCATGATCTTGATGACAGTGAGATTCTTAAAAGTGTTTAAAAACAAGTATGGTCAATTCAAAGATGCCCCGTAGAAGAGTTGCATTTGTGTTGATCGATGGATTGGGAGATGTTTCAATTCCAAGATTTGGATACAAAACTCCTCTAGAAGCTGCAAAAGTGCCAAACTTGGATGCCATTGCTTCTGCTGGAGTCAATGGTCTTATGGATCCAGTTGAAGTAGGTTTAGGCTGTGGAAGTGACACTGCTCATCTTTCTCTAATGGGTTATGACCCTCGAGTCTATTACCGTGGTCGAGGCGCCTTTGAGTCCATGGGTGCTGGTTTGGCCATGTCACCAGGAGATATTGCTTTCAAGGTATGGGCAAATCAGTCTTTTAACTAAAAAAATGTTCCTCTTTTGTGTTGGTTTTCATTATTTCACATTCCATCAGTCAAACTTTGCAACTCTAGATGAGAAAACGGGAGTAGTCACTAGCAGAAGGGCTGACAGGCACTTTGAAGAAGAAGGCCCCATCTTGTGTGCAGCACTTGATAAAATGAAGCTGCCATCTTTTCCTGAATATGAAGTCAGAGTCAGGTGTGTGTGTGTGTGTCCTCTTACTCCAAGACTTGAAGGCTTTTTAAATGTTTGGAATTTGAAGGCTTTTTGAAAATAAAAGATGTTGCAAGTTTTATGCCTTTTTAGATTTGTTTCAGGTATGCAACAGAGCACAGATGTGGGGTTGTGGTGAAAGGACCAAAACTAAGTGGGAATATATCAGGAACAGATCCATTGAAGGATAAGCGTTTGCTTTTACAAGCACAAGCTCTTGATGATACAGAAGAAGCAAAACATACTGCAACAGTTATCAATGAATTATCAAAAGAAATTTCTAAAATCTTAGTTGCTCATCCCTTGAATGAAAAACGTGCTGCTCAAGGAAAGAACATTGCCAATATTGTCCTTTTACGAGGCTGTGGCATTAGGATCGAGGTATTATTATTATTATTATTATTATTATTAACTTTACATGTCAAAGTCAAACATACAATTTCATTATAAAAAAAAAATAATAATAAACGCAATTTTTATTACAGGTTCCTGCATTTGAGAAGAATCACGGACTAAGACCATGCATGGTGGCCCCCACGAAAATCATAGCTGGGCTTGGGTTATCTCTGGGTATAGACATTCTAGAAGCTTCCGGAGCCACGGGAGATTACCGAACCTTATTGACATCAAAAGCAATGGCGATAGCAAACGCGTTATCGGCTCCTACAAAGTCTTGCCCGAATGTTTTTGTGCCAGGGGAAGATGAACACAAGCCTGGTCCATCTGATGGCTATGATTTTGGATTCCTTCATATAAAGGTGTTTGTTTATTTTCTTTCCTTTCTGAAATGACATGATATAAATAATAAATGTTATAAATTACAGGCAATAGATGATGCGGGGCATGATAAAGCAAGTGTGTTTAAAGTGAAAGGGTTGGAAGCTGTTGACAAAGCAATAGGTCAGCTTGCAAGGCTTCTTTGGGAGGCAGAGTCAAGTGGTGAATTCCAGTTTTCAGTGTGTGTCACCGGAGACCATTCTACTCCGGTTGAATATGGGGATCATAGCTTTGAGCCAGTTCCATTTACATTATGTCGGTTGAAAGATTATGTGGGAGCAGTTGGTGGTGAATCCGTGGTTTTACAAACTTCTCTTGATACGTTTCCACTTCCGGTTATTAAATCCGGTGAAGATTTGTCAGATGATATGGTGGTGGTGGAAGAAGAGGAACGGAATCGTGCGTTCTCCGGCGATTCGGTTTGGAAGTTGGACGAGATGGCGGTGGCAAGGGGTTGTCTTGGGCGGTTTCCGGGAAGTGAGATGATGGGAATTATAAAGAAGTTTGTTGAACTTGATTTATGATATTGAGCTTCAAGAATAACAATTGTAGGATGATTAAAATGGTCTTTGAGTTATATGCTTTATTTACTGTTTTCTTTTCAATGGGTGATGCAATTGTAATCGTGTTTATAAGCTATGCCAAGCTTTTATGCTTTCCAATTTTTAGATAAAGAAATCCAGACACCATCACCTCCTACATTTCATTTTCAAGAAATCTTGTCTTCAAAATTTTTGTTTAAAGTTGACAATTCAATTGTTTAATTCAAGTACCAATTTCCAATATTTGTTTCGGTTGAGACTAATTTTTTCTGTACAAGGAAATCACAAACTACACCAACCTACATTTCTTTCCCAAAAAAACTCAAATTAAAACATATGATAAGATGTATAAGTTAAGACTTTCGTTGTTTGGTTAAAATATACAAATTTTGAACTCTTATAGGTTAACATTCGGTTTTTATGAATGGATGGAGCAGAAGATACATAAAGAAATGGTTTGTTAAGACAGAACGGAAAAGCATTTAATAACAATCTTTATTTTTAATAAAAAATTATCTCAAATTCTTATAAAATTTAACAATACTCAAAAAGCAAATAATTCGAATGACAAATATCTATTATAATAGTTCTAAACTACTAAATGCTTAAGGAAAATATAAATACGGAATCAAAAAAGGAGATAAATCATTAAAATAGCTTCCTAATTTGTAAAAAGACTCATAATAATTGGAACGTTCGTTTTTGTCCGGCTCAATAGACCAACGAATGACTAGTCCAACGGAGGAGGGCCAAATCAGTCATTCGTTGGTGTAGCTCTTTGATTGCTCCCTTTGAACATCTCAATACCCACTCACTTTCTCAATTGCAGAAATGGATGCTAGATTGGGTGATAGAGTCGCCTATATACATACATGATGATTTCAAATGGGTTTTTACGAGTTGATTGATTGGTGGTTGGAAAGCTTTCTTATTAGAGAATGAAATCCCATTGCTTGGTATTTTCTCTAACAAGGCTCCATAATAGATTTCCTAAGCCTCAATTTATGACTTTGGTCTGAACATACTATATTGCAACTTGGTATGTCATGTCCCTCAATCGAAGTTGGGCTCTATACCACATGATGGCGGAATATACAAAATAGAATGGGCGATTACTAGATAAGGAAAAACAGAAAATAAGTCTCTTTTTAGAAAAAATAGTCTCAAATTCTTATTAAGTTTAATAATGCTCAAGACATAATAAATATATCTAATGAAATTCGTTAAGACTGCCCGGTATGGGCCATAAAAACGCTGTTATCGGCTGACGTGGCACACAAAAACGGCGTTATAACGCCGAGAACACCGTTCCCACCTCCCGTTATGGTATCCCATGTTATAACGCCAACGAATTGCAACGCCCATTTCAGCCAATCAATGGCTTTCTCTTTTTCTGCATTTCTTCACCTCAACGGGGTTGAGGAAATTGAACACCACCCCAGCTGCCCATACCCATCACCCTAAATGACTAAAAAATTAGGGATATCCCGTTGGACCAATGACTGGTTTCTAGTGGACCGGTCCGCTTGTGGGTCAAAATTTGCCAATTTAAGCTAGTGCGTACCAATCAATATGTGTACTGTATAGGTTGGACTTTTGAGGTGATCTTCTTCCATGATTATTCTTATACTTTTTTGTAATCAAATTCTTTATTTAATCTTTTTTCCCTTCTAAAACAATTATCAAACAAAATAATAATCTTTTATGCAATTTACTATTTTACTTTTCATTTTTTTATATAATAATAAAAAAAAATAAAAAAAATGATATCGTATGTGGTCCTCCGTCTTATACGCATTTGTATTGTACATTAAGTCAATGCATGCAAAATGGCATCTGGTCATGGCGGCGTGTTCGATAGGGAAGTGGTCACATGCCATCAAATGTCATCTTTATTATTTACAATCTTATTCAATGCCAAAACCCACTTCTTCAACCCCTATTCAACTTAGTGAAGGTTAGTAGCTCAATACCAACTTCGACACCCTTGCAACAATGTCTCCTTCTCTTTCTTTTTCGGTAAATCGGAGCCCAAAATTTCCTTTCCAAGGTAAAAAAACAACACACATGCTCTTCATTTATTTGTACTGATATCAACTCTTCTTTGATTTATTTGAGGTGAAAATTTGACGTGGATTTTGAATTTTTGATCCAGTTTGGTAGAAGATGTATTTTTGTTTTTGCGTCGTTTGATTTTACAGTTCATATGATTAGGTTAAAGCTATGCTTATTCAAATCAATTTGCTTTTAACTGTACGATCTTATATCGATTTAAGATAAGAATCCAATAGCCAAACTTCTTCTTCTTCTTCTTCTTCTTTCTTCTTCCCCTTTCAGGTGAGGTGAAAAAACATGGAAATTCGTTGTTTACTGCAAATCCCAATCATTTAAAGTTCTCATTTCTAGAAAAACCAGTATCAACGACACTTATTCCACATGCTGTAGCAACAGAAATCCCTACACATTGGTATAACATCATCGCCGACCTCCCCATCAAACCTCCCCCATTTCTGCATCCAAAGACGTTTGCACCATTGCAACCGCAAGACCTATCTCATCTTTTTCCCGATGAACTGATTAAGCAGGAGGCAAGCAATGAACGATTCATTGTGATTCCTGATGACGTTATCGATGTTTACAGGCTTTGGCGCCCTACCCCTCTTATCAGGTCGGTTTTTCTTCTAGAATATTCTTCCATATATATAAAAGATATCATATTTTTTATTGTTTTGAGTTTTGATTTAGAGCCAAGAGATTGGAGAAACTACTTGATACACCTGCAAGAATTTATTACAAATATGAAGGTGTAAGTCCAGCAGGTTCACACAAACCAAACACCGCTGTCCCTCAGGTTTGGTACAATGCACAACAAGGTGTCAAGAACATTGTCACTGAAACCGGTGCAGGTCAATGGGGGTGTTCTTTAGCGTTTGCTTCCAGCCTATTTGGGCTCAACTGTGAAGTGAGTAATGAGTTTCTCTTAGAGCTAGCTTCTTCATTTTAGTGTTGGTTAAAACTTATGGTTTAATTTCAATTTTAATTTGCAGGTGTGGCAAGTTAGGGCTTCTTATGATCAGAAACCATATCGGAAACTGATGATGCAAACATGGGGAGCTAAAGTTCATCCGTCTCCTTCAAACATCACGGAATCAGGCCGGAGAATCCTTGAAATGGATCCGTTGAGTCCAGGGAGCTTGGGAATTGCCATTTCAGAGGCTGTGGAAGTTGCAGGTCTTAACGAAGATACCAAGTATTGCTTAGGAAGTGTTCTGAATCATGTTTTGTTACATCAGACTGTTATTGGGGAAGAATGTATTAAACAGATGGAGGATTTAGGGGAGACTCCTGACGTCATCATTGGTTGTACGGGTGGTTGGGTCGAATTTTGCAGGGGCTCTGTTTCCCTTTTATCCGGGAAAAACTCAAAGGAAAAATCAACCCTGTTATAAGAGCTGTCGAGCCTACTGCTTGCCCTTCATTGACCAAAGGTGTTTATGCTTATGATTATGGAGATACTGCTCAATTGACTCCATTGATGAAGATGCATACACTCGGTCATGATTTCGTTCCTGACCCTATTCATTCCGGTATAACTCTTTCTGATTTCTTGATATAATAACTCAGAAAGATGCTCTTTGTGGTTAAAACGAACCATAACTTCACCTAATTTTGCAGGAGGGTTGAGGTATCATGGAATGGCGCCACTGATTTCACACATCTATGAATTAGGTTTCATGGAAGCAATGGCAATTCCACAGATTGAGTGCTTTCGAGGTACAATTACTTTCAATTTTGTAATCTTTCGTCTATAAATTTTGTTATTTTGAGACCTAATGTGTTGAATTGGATGAAACGAACTGGTTTAGGGGCCATACAATTTGCTCGATCAGAAGGACTGATACCAGCACCGGAGCCTACACATGCCATAGCCGCAGCAATACGAGAAGCCCTTCACTGCAAAGAGAGCGGCGAATCAAAAGTGATATTAATGGCAATGTGTGGCCATGGCCATTTTGACCTTCCTGCTTACGAGAAATACTTACAGGGCGCCATGGTTGATTTGTCTTTCTCAGAAGACAAAATGCAAGCTTCTCTCGCCAATATCCCACATTTAACCTAAAAGCTTACACCTTTTGTCTTTTTGGTTAATAAAAACAAATCATAAACTCAATAAATTTACACTAATTCACATTACAATACATATGTGTTGGAATCATAATTCAACAGAACCACACCACACCCTGTTTATTCAAAACCCCCCATTGAAGAAAACAGATTGGCTATGAAGAGGAATACGCCGGCAATAGTCAAATATATACCAACCTTGTCTTGATTTGTTATATACGTCGCCATGCGGGCAGCTTTACACGAATCACAGTCGAAACATTTGACATGCTCTGGTTTCTTCAATGTCGCATTCGCCCATTTTACGCAATCATCGTTTTCGCTTACACTCCCCAACTCAAACAATTTGCGTGCACATTTTGGCGGAGGCACACAACACCCTTCCTGAAACCCTAATCCGGTTACATCAACATAACGATAACGATGGATAATAAAATGAAATGAAAAGGATGTGAAGAATTTGAAACGTACCCTGAAAAATTCGTAGTAATTTTCTATTTTCCAATCTTCGTCTTTATCAAGGAACTTTTCAGGTCCACGATCTTCTTCACAAAACTTAATCTCCGTCAAACACTCATCAACCATCGGCCATACGTTGTCGGCAACCATGGCTTCGATAAGCATCGGCTTATATTTTTCATCTAGAGGTGAATCCTCCTTATAAACATCATCGAAAACGGCTGATGTCGATTTTCTGATCCACCCGAACATAAGCAAACGCCAAACGACAATGCCCATGACGTAAAGAAGTCCGATGTTGACCAAGAAAGTAAAGAGCCATTGAAAGAATTTGACTTTACAACATACGATTCCGACGAGGCCAAGGAGGCATGTAACCAAGACGCCGGTCATCAAATATGTTGGCCATAACACAGTGTCCTCTAAACATGTTTCGGTATGGAGAGCCACCATACGTACGCCGATTTCTAAAGCCCGTCTGCCTAGCAGATATATCGAGCCGGCGGTGCCACCCATTAGCCAAACGGTCAGCAATATTCGTGCAAACAATCCCATTTTTTTTCTTTTTTATCAGTGTCGATAAGAGAGAAATGTTTGTCGTGTTATGTCCCTTATGGAGAAAATTTACATTTGCGAATTGACATACAAAATGAATAACGGATGTTCGTAAATTTTGTTAGTGTATAAAAGTTTGATACTTCGGTAAAATATGTTTTTATTATCCGAATCGTCCTCTCACCCTCTATCTATCTTCCTCCAAATCGGGATCAGTGTTTGATGTCCCTAAGGGTATGTGTTGTTTTCCTAAAAGATTGGGATTAGTGTTTGATGAATGATGACCGATTATAACTTTTAAACAATTTAGAAAGTGTTGATATTTGTCAAGGATGTTGACTGGTTAGTTTGTTGATGACGTGTAGATAGTGCTCGATGCATGTGATTTTATTTTTTGATGCCCAAGCATTAGCTAGGGAGTTATTCGATACGTTCTAGTCGACCGCTTTGCTTGTATGTAACGTCTTTAAATCGTCAACCGATACTTTTCATTTCTCTAGCTTTGATTTGAGAAATATGTTTCATTTGGGTGTTCGTTGTTGTAGGATTTAGTCTGCTTCAGAAAAATTAGGGTAAAATTGAATAAAGTCATTATATTTACATTATTTTCTGATTCTGACATTATGTTTTGTTTATTTTGTTGCGATTAAGACATTGAATTTTTTAGCTTTTTTTCAATCTTGACCACTTAACCGGTTTCAGATTGCCGATGGACGTAACATGTTGACATGATAGTCCTTGACAAGAAGTAAGCATGTATGTGAAGCTAGGTTAAGGTAACAACCATTTTTCTTTCATTATTTCCTTTTCTTTTCTTTTACCGAGAACTGCCGCTATCACTATGTAACCACCATCGTCAGCAGCCATGGTTGCCGGTGTTCTCCTCATCGCCACCACATACCACCATGTGGTGGTTGTGGTCTTGTTGTTCTAGCTTTAGGATCCTTAGCGGTTTAAATTATCTTCCTTTATTGTTTTAACTATACTAGAGTTGAGTGAGAACACAATGTGTTGGTAAAGTATGATGTTGTAACCGGAAGAGAATGTGACATACAAGAGTTTTTAAACATGACATGTACCTACCAACGGAGCTGAACAAGGTATAAACATAAACATGTATGTTTTCACCCTGTTTTGTACACACTCAAGTATGGAGAATAGGGGAGATTAAATATTGAAGTTCTTTGAGCTCGAATTTGATGGTTTTCAAAGGAAATCAAAGGGAGATTAAGAATCAAGCTTCTACATGTTGGATTGGATGTATTTTTTTTTTGCTAGCTTTTGGGTGTAAGAACCCTAGCTTATAAGTGTTTATGGATACAATACTTGAAGGTATTGATGTAGTAAGCATTGTAATCATATTCTCAAGCATTATATGCTAAATTCATGGTTAAATTGTTAGAATTGAAAGATGATGAATATGATCCTTAGATGGGTGAAGCGTGGAATTGATAAAATTGATTTAGTAATTGGATGTAGCTGTATGGATAAATTATACGTGAATTAACTTCGATGTAAGTTTGGTTCATGAGAAATTAAGTCATGTACAAGTGACTTTGTAAATGAGTCATGATATTCAATGGTGATTCTTGAGTTATGTTACTTTTCTTTTGTACATTACGAATTTTTGTACATAATTCATTCTATGTTCTAGTTTGTAAGTTAAATCCAAAACATTCAACCATAATACACAAGAAATCTGTAATTATTGGGGTTAAATTTTCTGTTGTCCTAGTTTTCACTAAAACTATTGAGTATTTTTATGGTATTTCAGATTAGCAAACATGTTTTGTTCAAAATGGTTTGAACACTTTTGGTGGTTTGTTTGGTCTCATTGTTTTTTTTTTCTTTTGGTTGTAGAGCTTTTATACTTGTCTATCTAACTAGAAGTTGGATATTCATTCTCTTTGTTCAATCAAAAAACTCTTTATTGTGTTACATAAATTTATGTTGTTCAAATTGTTATTTTTCTTAAATCGTGCAATTTTACCATTCTGAATTCAATCATCGGTTTTATTGGTTATAATATGAAGATTTGTACTCAAATTGTTACAGATTGATATTGTTATTATACCATTGGTTTGTGTTGATAAGAGTTTTTTATAGTGTGGTTTGTTGTTTATGTGTAATGATTCAAGTTTGTTCTAAACTAGTTTAATGTCTTTATCGTGATATGTATAATGGAAAAGGATATTAGTAGAACCATCGTTTAAATCATACTTAAGCATCATAATGGGGGTGGAATTATTAATCAAGAATTTCAGTTATATTGAGTGCTCCCACATCGGCATATGAAGAAATTCATAACCCGTTGATAAAGTCATCCAACAGATGAGTTACCACTGGGCTTGGTTGCGCTTGCCTATAACCTAAGTGGGGGTATCAAAGTGGGTTGGATTGTACTCGGGGGTATCAAAGTGGGTATCAAGTGGGGGTATCAAGTGGGTTGGTTGCGCTTGCCTATAACCCAAGTGATTTGGGTCAGGAATGACGTAAGCAATGACATAAGACATGTGGCCTTTCAATATGGAAATTGCAATTCAATTATGTACTCGGCTCCTTTGAGCCTATAAATAAGGCCTTTGCCCATAATTAATAAAGAAGCTAAATTTGAGTGTTTAAGACTTGAGTTGATAAAAAGCCATCATTTTTGAAGACATGTGGCCTTTCAATATGGAAATTGCAATTCAATTATGTACTCGGCTCCTTTGAGCCTATAAATAAGGCCTTTGTCCATAATTAATAAACAAGGCCTTTGCCCATAATTAATAAAGAAGCTAAATTTGAGTGTTTAAGACTTGAGTTGATAAAAAGCCATCATTTTTGAAGACATGTGGCCTTTCAATATGGAAATTGCAATTCAATTATGTACTCGGCTCCTTTGAGCCTATAAATAAGGCCTTTGTCCATAATTAATAAACAAACTAAATTTGAGTGTTTAAGACTTGAGTTGATAAAAAGCCATCATTATTGAAGACATGTGGCCTTTCAATATGGAAACTGAAACTAAATTTGAGTGTTTAAGACTTGAGTTGATAAAAAGCCATCATTATTGAAGACATGTGGCCTTTCAATATGGAAACTGCAATTCAATTATGTACTCGGCTCCTTTGAGCCTATAAATAAGGCCTTTGCCCATAATTAATAAACAAGCTAAATTTGAGTGTTTAAGGCTTGAGTTGATCTCAATCTTCTTCTGTTGAAATAGTTTTCTATTTCTGAATAGCAGAGCCCTATCCAAACATATTCATATAATCATATAATCATACCCAAACAATCCATCATCAATCCATCCCGACGCATCATTCAGGTACAATTCTATCCTAATCATATTAGTTCCGTCATGTTCAATCTTTCAATTCTATCCTAAGTAACGTTCTTATTATTATTTTGCATATTCAATCTTTCATAAGAATATATGCATATGCAGCATCATAAACATGATAATAAATATTTTACATATCTCAAAAACTCATATTCAAAAATCATCGTTGTTAAAAATCAATAATAATTGTCGTAAGAAGGTTTTAATATCATTATAAATATGTCTCAAGAAATAGAAAATTCACCAATCATTATTAATAACGAAGAAAATGAATCTGGATATATTTTTGATGCTTTAATTAACAAAAATAACATTAATAAAGATGCTATAAAAAAAATCAAATTTTACACTATCAGAAAAACATAATTTTAAAAATAACTCATTAAAAAAATTTTTTGCTAGAAAAAATATTATATATTATGGAAAAATTATAGGAGAAGAAGCAATACCTATAGAATCAACTCAAGGAAATATTATTATACCCATAATAAATAAACAACAAATTAGAAATAGATTATCTAATATTAAAGAAGCATATAGAATAAAAATTGCTTATATTCATATATCAACTATTCAAGTAATTTTAAAAAAGTACTTTTAGCGACTTAGATACACCAATAGAATTAGAAATCAGAGATGATCGTATAATTAATAACCAAGAAAGTATTATTGCAAAAGGAAAAGGTAATTTAATCGAAGGAAAAATAAACTTTGATATTAATATTCAACTAGTATTAAGTCTTAAAGATAAAAATCTAAGTAATAGTATTACTGTACGATATAAATTATTAAGACAAAATTTTATGATAAAAGGTAATCATTCGTTTACTATTACATATCAAATAAATTATGCATTAACAAATTCTCATCATAGTATTACGTTTAAAACAGAAGATAGAATTTATATAGATAAATTATTTACTCCTTTATTATCACTTGAATCACCAAATATGACTAATAATAGAATATTCAATGAAACTAATTTTCAACCAATAATAGTACTCCGTTAATAAAAAGAAGTCCAATTATAGAACCTCCATTTTCAACTATAATGGGTAGATCTTCTATCTCGGAATGTCAACCTACAACATCTAATGAAAACAACGATGAAAAATTAGAAGATATTAAAGAAATGATTAGATCATTAAGTTTAAGAATATGACAGAATCATCTAGTAATTCCCTAAAATATTTTAAAACACTTGAATGATCATATCAAAATACAAAACCATGTATACCAGATAAAGAAATGATTATAGAAATACCACAAAATTTACCGCAAGGAACAATATATAATATTTGTCTTAATTCTGAAGAAGATAAATCAGTAGGAGATAAATTAAATATAATTAGTCAAAAATTAAATAATATTATAGAAGTAGAAAATTTAATTGTATTAAAACAAATTCCTGAACTATTACAAAGTTTAACTCAACAGAAAATATTACTTGAAAAATATTTAAAAATAAAAACTATTAAAGAAGAACCACTTAATGAAAAACCACTACTTAAAGAAAAACCACTTACTATCAAACGACCCTTCACATGGTAAAATAAAAATTATAAGTAATAAAACCCAAGTATATTGTATTTACGATAATAAATATAAAGTTGATCTACTTAAAAAATTATGGAAAGATTTAGAAAAATCCACAAAACATTTAAAAGAAAAAGAATCTGAAGTACACGAACTAATTTCTAAAAACAAAAATTATACTGCATATCAATTAGTTAAAATTGGAAGATTAAAAATTGAAATTAATCATTTAAAAATAGTAATAAAAAATATTAACAATTCAATTAATTTTCTTTCAGACGCTTTAATAATTTGTTAAAATGAATTCGAAAGTACAAATTAATTCTTCAAAAGATAACATGCTTTGGACTAATATATTAAAAAACCATTGGAAAATAAACTCTAATATCTCTAATACCATTCAACATTTAAAAAATG